CGAAGTTCAGAGCCGTCAGGAGCTTGTGACTCCCTCCGGATTCAAAAAGACAGCCGCGTCCTCAGGTGCCAGACCCTTTCTGCACGTGAGCCCCCTACCTCTGCACTTTACTTCCGCAGCTCCTCTGGCTCTCAGTGTGCTTTTCTTTCCTTCTAGTTGTAGAATTTACACTCAGCCAGCTTTCCTGTAGTTTTGGATGATGTCTGTTTTGTCTTTTTGTATTTTTCAATTGTTGTGGGAGGCAGCAATTTCCCGGTGTTTATCTATGCTGCCATCTTAGTTTTCTCTCCCGAATTATTAATCTTTTTTAATAATTCTAGTGAACTTTATTTTTACAGTGGTAGGTGGAAGCATATACCAGCATTTCTTTTTGCTTGAAACTGTAAAAAATTCCATACACAAGGGCTAGGTATCCTTCAGTAGCTGCAAAGAATTCATTGAGGCACTAGAAGGAAAAATGCTCTGCTAATGTCAGCATAGCAAAGTCACACCTGATCCTGCAAAGTCTCATCTTTCTGCCAGGTAAATAGGGAAAAACGTTGGTTTTGTTTAGTTTAGTTTGTCTTCTTTGGAAAAGTCTGGTGAAAGTCAAGTTGTTACTAGATAGGGGACCAGCCTGGAGCAGGTCTGCCTTGGGCTGACCTGTAGTGTGTGTTCTTGATTTCCTTCAGGAAAGATTTCACAACACAAGTGTGAGTGATTTTGAGAAGACATTTATTAAAGGTCGGGACAGTGAAACAGGGAAGGGCTTAGCATAGGAGAAGCAACAAGAGAGCCTGGGCGGGGCTGCTTTGGCTCTCAGGCAACATAATAGGAAAGAAATGAGCCTAGTTGGGGTGGCTTTGGCTCACTGGAAAGTCAGAGCAAATAGGGCCTAGGAAAGAGGTTCAAGAGGTTAGCCCAGGACAGCTGCTGCTCTCCTGGTTGCAAGTCTCATGAGGACCCTTAGAGTTTAGAAGATGCACACTGTGGGGCAAGAAGGGCATAAGCCTGCTCCTGGGAGGGAGAGTGAGGCCTGGGTCCTTTGTCTTGAGAGTGTTAAAGGCTGGGTGTTTAGGGGAGGTCTTAGGAGGCTCTCAATACAAAAATCATTTTTATGCTGATGCTCCAGAATTAGATTCATTCCCTTCATCTGTCCCTGGTCGAGCTCCCAGTTGAACTCCCGGTCAAACTCCTGGTCAAGGGGACAGTTTGCATATTAGCCTTTTATTATATAGGACAGGGAGAGATTATAGAATATGTGGGGTTTGGTACTGCATGCAGTTTCCAGCATCCACTAGGTGTCTTGGAACATATCTCCCCGGAATAGAAGGGACTACTGTGTCCTTATTTCTCAGGGTTCAGGAATATTTGGGCACTGCTCAGTACCCTGTGACTTATGATTGCCAGGGTGTGTCAGAGCCTGGGTTCTCCTTCCCCATCTTTAGCTGTTTGCTTTATATCATCTTTGGAACAGATCCAACATTTTGATACTTGTTCTGCTCAAGCTCCAGAAGCCTGAGGACAAAGTTAAATTTCAGCTCAAATCCCAGAATAACATCCTGTTCATTCACTCACTAAGTCTTCATTTCTTAGGGAAGCACTCCCCTCATACTCTATATTTTTGAGGTTTTTATATAGGCATATCTCAGATAAATTGCTGGTTCAGTTCCAGATCACCACATAATCTTTTTGTTGGTGGAGGAAGAGTCTTGCCTTCAATTTATAAAAAAGTGAAACATCTATGAAGTGCAATAATATAGGTATGCTTGTATTTCCTCTAGAGCGGATTTGGAGGTACTAGCACGCACCCTTGACTGCTAAAGCCACCTCTTTGTTTCTCTCAGTATCATTTCTGCTCATTGCTGAGTGCATTTTCCCTCGTATAGATAGGAAGGCAGATAGATAGGAAGGCAGAGCTGGTCCTGACCTGCTCCTGTTCTCCAAGTGACTGATGGTTTATGGGCCCGCAGGGCAGCCCCCCCTACATCAGATCTGCATGGCAGCTCCTGGGACAGCTGACAGGGAGATGGTTTCTTTGGCGGAACCGGCTGATGTGTAGGTAAATGGAGTTTTTAAAAATACCACATATACATTCTAGTGACTATTTTTACTGTTAAATGGTAAGAAACCATCATAGTTCAGATTTGTCAGTGATGTAGAAATCATTATGTAGAGATCTGGGTGTTGCTTTGTGTGTTCATAAGTACAGTTTTTGATTTTTTGTAATATGCCTGGGAAACTGGTTTTACATTATCTACGCATAAATCTGTAGCTCACATGTTCTCCAACACTGTAGAAATCTTTTTCTTACTATTTAAAGCAGTAGTTATTGTGATGATGTGGTAGATGCAGATATTGTAAAATATATTAAATCAGCTCTAGCCGGTTTGGCTCAGTGGATAGAAGGTCATCCTGCGAACTGAAAGGTCCCAGGTTCGATTCTGGTCAAAGGCACATGCCCAGGTTTCAGGCTCCATCCCCAGTAGGGGGCTTGCAGGAGGCAGCCGATCCATGATTCTCTCTCATCATGGATGTTTCTGTTTCTCTCTCCCTTTTCCTTCCTCTCTGAGATCAATAGAAATATATATATATATATATAGTCAACTAACCTGTATATAGGCCTCCAGGGGTGAATAAAGTATTCTCACATGGTTTCAGAATCATTTTAAATCTCCCAGTAGGAATGACATAAATATATTTATATGATGGGCCATCGTTCTGGAGTGTTGGTGTTTGACTAGAATTTCTATGTGTTTTTTTAAAAAATCACCCAGATTCCTGAGACTTCATTATTATACGTTGTTCTTAATGCCATGTCTTATATTGTGATCATATATTCTTGAAAACTGCCTACAATATTAAAATTGATCTATTTACACATTTGAAGATACTGAAGGAAAAAATTAAATATCTTCACTGAGTTTGTTTAATTTCTGTTTTATAAAGTGTTTTATGTAACCCATGAAATAGAAATTTAGGCAGGCAGATAGGACACTTAAGACAGGGGAGTTCTTTACTTTTTTCTCGTTAATTGCTCATGAGGTTCTAGTCTTGCTCATTTTCATTAAGACTGATCATCAAGGAGAAGTGTACTGAAATGAGTTGCCGGGGTCCAACCCCAGCAGGTCCAGGGGTCCCCAAAGGTGTGGACGGAGTCGGCGAAGAAGGAATGACACGGAGACAGCGTTCAGTTGATCAGCAGCCTTGCCAGGATCTCTAGCCACAATCTCTAGCCAAGTTCTGTGTCCATGTTCTCTTGCTAGGCTCTCCAGCCAGGTTCAGTCACCAGGTTCTAGTCAGGTTCTCTTGCCATGTTCTATCCAGGTTCTGTAGCCAGGTTCTGTCTCTAGGTTCTGTGTCCAGTTTCTGTCCAGGATCATTTGCCATGTTCCGTCTCTAGGTTCTGTCTCTAGGTTCTGTAGCCAGTTTCTCCAGCCAACTCCATAGCTGGGTTTGACTTCAGGGGAAAATCTCTATCTGGGGAAACAACCTTTCTCGGAGAGGTGACCTTGGTTAAAACACATAGCACCAAGAAGGTGAGAAAACATATTAAGAACAGTATGCCATATACGCCAGGTCCCTTGAAACAGCAAGGATGGACCGGCTCCCGGCAATGAGTGAGAGCACAGATAAGTGTGGGATTGAATCCTGACACTGCCACATTTGGACTATAATGCAGGATAGTTCTTTAACTGGCTCTCCTCGTTTCTATGTGGGGATACATATATTATTTTCTAAGGTTGTTATGGGTACACATTAATAATCTGTGGGACTTAGTAAGTACTTAGTAAATGTTCCATCATTTTATTTAGGTGAGAAATAGGAAAGGACCACTTGGGTTTTATTGATAATAGTAGAGGCCTGATGCACAAAATTCATGCACTTGGGGCGGGGGTGGTCCCTCAGCCCGGCCTGCGCCCTCTTGCAGTCCAGGGGCCCTTGGGGGATGTCTGACTGACTGCTTAGCATTCCTGGGGAGGCAGGAGAGGCTCCCGCCACCGCCACTGCGCTCACCAGCTGTGAGCCCTGCTCAGGGCTTTTGGTTGAGTGGCGCTCCCCCTGTGGGAGTGAAGTGACCACCAGGGGGCAGCTCCTGCATCGAGTGTCTGCCCCCTGGTGGTCAGTGCGCATCATAGTGACTGGTTGTTTTGCCATTCAGTCGATTTGCATATTAGCCTTTTATTATATAGGATTGTTGCATGTTTTGAAGAAGTAAATGTTTTGCCATGTGCCACAATGCTGCTACTTTTAGTAATTGCATCACTTCAGGAAATGTATCCACAAGTGATCCTTAACCATGTCCCAAATGTCTGCATGGTCTTCGAAGTGCTTGGCCACCATCTCCTCAAATGGATCATTAAGTCCAACTATCAAGGCCTTCCTTTACGTTGTGTGAAGAGTATCATTCGACAGGTGAGGCTTATGGGGCAGCCCCCACCCCCTAATACCTAACTGGCTAGGCTTTCAACATAAATTACTATTTTGTTTTGTTCTTTAAAAAACCACAAACATATACATACATGTTTCTTGATATATACTAGGTGTACTGGTTAATAAGGTGGATTTTTTTCAATAGATGGAGTTACACATATGTTGATATATATGCTATCTCATGTGTATGCTGTTTTATTGTATTGACAATAAGCTTCAAAACTTCATATATCAAATTTGCTAAAGGTGTTAACATCATCATGGATATTTTTACGCTTAAAAATGTTGAATTTCGTGCCAAAAAAAAGAGCATTTGCAGGAAGTTTTAATTCATTACTTTATTTTGAAGAAAATTGCTGCTGAATAAACTTTGTGAAGCTTATGGTGAAGATGTTCCATCTCAAGATACTTGTGAACTCTGGTTTAAACGCTTTAAAAGTGTGGATTTCGATGTGAAAGACAAAGAACGTCCAGGTCAACCAAAAAATTTTGAAGACCAACAATACTGCAAGGCCAAATTGCTTTGGAGAGAAGACAGTGCTCTGCGTTTGGTGGGATCAGGAAGGTGTGGTGTATGATGAGCTTCTAAAACCAGGTGAAACCATTAATACTGACCACTACCTACAACAAATAATCAATTTGAACCATGCTTTCATCGTGAAATTACCAGAATGTGCCAGAAGACACAGCAAAGTAATTTTGCTTCATGATGACGCACCATCACACACTTCAAAACCAGTTAAAGACACGTTAAAAGATCTTACCTAGGAAGTATCAACCCACCCGCTGTATTCACCAGACCTTGCTCCTTCAGATGACCACTGGTTCCGAACTATGCACTTTCTGAGCAGCACTTCAAAACATACGAAGAAGTGGAAAATTTGGTCTCTGAATGGTTTGCCTGAAAACAAGAAAAGTTCTATTAGGACGGTATCCACAAATTACCTGAAAGATGGGGAAATGTGTAGCTAGCGATGGACATTACTTTGAATAAAGTACTTTTGATGTTTCTCTTGAAATTACCGTGTTTTCTTTAATTACAAAATCCACATTATTAACCGGTACACCTAGTATATAATTTTTGTTTTTAAAGCGTATGCATATGTTACAGTGTATAATAACTTGAACATTTTAAGTCAGTTTTATATTTAATACTATGCCATTCTGTTTCTTAAGGGAGCAATATGTAAATATCAGGCATACATTTATTTGGGCATATTGAACTTTTTAAACTAATGATATGGTATAGTGAAAATTTGTTTTATCTAATATTATTATTATAAAACGTCCCCCTTTGTTTCTCAGAAAATAATTCAAAAGAAATAATTTGTGTTTATTTGCTGTTTTTAGGTATTAGATGAAGGGTAAATGAACAATATAATGAATGTTGGTTATGTAGGGAGTATTGTATTAGAATTATGCTTTGTTCAGTTGTCTTGACAAAAGAAAATGGGTCTGGCCCTAACCGGTTTGGCTTAGTGGATAGAGCGTCGGCCTGCGGACTGAAAGGTCCCAGGGTCGATTCTGGTCAAGGTCATGTACCTTGGTTGCGGGCATATCCCCAGTTGGAGGTGTGCAGGAGGCAGCTGATCGATGTGTCTCTCTTGTCAATGTTTCTAACTCTCTATCCCTCTCTCTTCCTCTCTGTAAAAAATCAATAAAGTATATTTAAAAAAAAGAAAATGGGTCTGGATCTGGTTTGGTGATCATGTGGTAGCAATTATTTATAAAATGAAAGTATACCTACATGAAAGATCTCTTTCTGATTAGAAATGTTTACTGGATTTCATTTTCTGCACGGAATATATTGCTCTGTATCCCACTATTCCCTCACAACCTAAGTTAGGAATGTTGCAGATATGACTCATTCTGGGTTACCTATTCTGATAGAATGACTGTGGGTACTTCTTCAGAGTAATTTATATATCAAGGAGATTATTTGTTTTTTTTGCAACGAAGACTGAGTGCTTGGGAGCCTTGCCCTTTCCCCTGGTCCAGATCTTGAACTAGATTTGTCTGAGGGTTGCAGACCTGAAATATAGGCTATGGTCCAGAATTCTTAAATAGGAAATAATCAGGGAATTGAAAAATTGTACATCCTAGTGATTGGGGCCTGAAAAAGAACCTTCCTACCAGTTGTACATAATAATTGCATACATGCAAATCAGTAGGTTCTAAAACCATTTCATAAAAATTTTGATGTTTATAATTGTTAGATTTTTCCTTTGAAATTGTGTGTAGTTAACTTAGTTTATTCAGCCTGTGTATTTATCTCTTCTTTTATCTTCATCCTCTTATGGTGCAAATCGACAGCTCATCTTCTAATATTATAGACCAACCCAGCCACCGTGGCTCAGTGGTTGAGCATTGACCTGTGAACCAGGAGGTCATGGTTTGATTACCGGTCAGGGCATGTGCTCAAGTTGCAGGCTCGATCCCCAGTGTGGGGCATACAGGAGGCAGCCAATCAATGATCCTCTCTCATCATTGCTATTTCTGTCTTTCTCTCCTCCCTTCCTTTCTGAAATCAATAAAAAATATTTTAAAAATATAGATGTTATTTGAGGAGAGAGGTTGGTAAGAGAAGGGCTTTCTATAGTGTCTTACACACGAGATACTATATTTTTACATAGTATTATGTTAGGTATGCATATGTACTGTGTATGGGTTTCTGGCTAGCTTTTGTTTAATAATATATTTGTTCTCTTTTAGGTTTTAGATAGTAGCATTTTAACTCATTATTTTAACATGGTTAATTTTTCATGTGAAAAAACAATGCTTTTCTTTAGAAGATAGGCGATGAGGGGGAAAATTAATACGTTCATTGGAGTTATTTGATTCCCAAATGCTGCTTCAGTATTTATATCTTTTTTATTTTTTAAATATATTTTATTGATTTTTTACAGAGAGGAAAGGAGAGAGATAGAGATAGAGAGTTAGAAACATCGATGAGAGAGAAACATCGATCAGCTGCCTCCTGCACATACCCCACTGGGGAAGTGCGTGCAACCCAGGTACATGCCCTTGACCGGAATCGAACCTGGGACCCTTCAGTCCGCAGGCCGACGCTCTATCCACTGAGCCAAACCGGTTTCGGCCAGTATTTATATCTTAATTATCTCTGCTAAATCCTGAAAATATAAAATGACTTACATATTATAACAAAAAGTAAATAATTTCAGAAATACCATTTTGCCTATATTTCATACAGGTTCTGTCATTTCCTTTGACCGCACACTTTCAAAGATGTAGGCTGTTGCCATTGTTCACTGACCATGTCAATACTCGGGCTTGGCCATGTAAGAAGGGCATTAGCAGATGAACCATTGACATTTATTTTGTATTTCAGAATGGGAAAACAAAATCTAGCCTTTCTTAGCGAGTAAAAGAGTCTGTAAATCTAAAGATGAAATCTAGCAATTTAATTGAACTTTAATGCATACTTGACGATTGAAGAAATGATCTTCCAAGTGTATTATCCTCCTGTTACACACATACACTGAGCTTTGGAAATTAAAGAGCTCTTGTGTTTTATTGTTCTAGGAAAATTTCAAGATGAAATCCTGATTTTATATGGTCTGCACTTTGTTCTTTTAGGCTTTGTGAGTAGAAGTTTTGTTTTAATGTGAAACCCATCTTTAAGTTTATTTAAGAAAAACGTTATCATGGAATCTGGATTTTTTTCTCCCCTAAACTTTTAACTTTTAAAAGTAATAGGTTATTATATATCCCAGTTAATAGCCTATGTACCTGAGTTTCCCTTCATCCCTCCAAGCCAGCATATGAGTTTAGTATTTTTGACTTGTAAATAGTACTGTGAAGATCCTTTATTGACAGACCTGCATAGTTACGTCCCTCCCCGAACAAGACAAGGCCGGGCCAGCTTTCTGATATTCTTGCCATGTGTCCTCCTTCAGCTTCATGGTCAGGCATAGCTGACCTCGTTTCAGTCATCCCTGTGGCTCTGCCACTTGCCGTCCTTCGCCAGTCACCTGGCCTTCGGTCCCTCCTGTGCTGTGTCTTTTGCTCTTGATGTCCCTTCCATTCTGGCGCCACTGTCCTCGGTCCACAGGCTCCTCTCTGCTCTCTGAGTCCAGCCCAACTTCCTCCCTATTCCAGTTTGTTCTCCTTTCCATTAGCAGTTACCTCTCTAAGTAAAAGTTTGCTTTAATAATTTATATTTCCATATAAACCTCTAGTGTTTTTCCATTGCTTATTGCCCAAAGCTTAACATTGTTGACTTTCATGAAGCAATAGGTGGAGCGATAAAGAGCTTGGATTTTGGCGACAGTTATACCTTAGTTTAGCTAAAGGACTTTGGCCAACTTAATTAACTCAGGCCACAATTTCATCATAAATAAATGGGAATCATAAGGGTACCTTTGTTATTAGATTAAAGGGATACTGCTATCAATAAATACAAATATTTACTCAGTGCTTACTGTGTGCCAGGCATAATTCTAAGTACTTTGCAAATTTTAATGCATTGAATCCTCATAGTAACCCTATGAAATAGGTATTTTACTCTCCTGATTTTATATAAGTGCAGCTGAGGCATAGAGAGGTGAAAGAACTTGCCCCTGGTCAGGAAGTAACTTAAGAAGGATTAAGTGGTCTAGCAGGAATTCAAACCCAGATAGTCTGGGTTGGAGCTCATGCTTTTACTGGTTTGCTGAGCAGCATGTAATAACTTTGGAATTGTACTGGGCTTATATCCAATAAGAGTTAAATCATTGTTGTTCTTCCTTCTGCCATCTGGTGTCAGCCCATATTTTCCCCTTACAAACCCTGATTCACCTCTTATTTCCTGTCAGATAAATTTTTGTCCATTAATTAATTAATCTTTTAAATAGGTATTATACATAACTGTTCTAAAATATATGTCTTTCAGGTACCCACTTTCCCTCATGGAGTCAACCAAGTTATTAATTTCTTAAGAATATCTAAAGATGTCCCAAAGCATTTATAAATACCTGCTTATT